ATACAGTAGAGCCTCGAAAACTCGGCCTAATGTGGACCGAAGGGTGGCCAAGTTTGTGAAAATGTCGGGTTATCGGGAATGGGGTTAAAAAACTAAGTATGAGTGTTTCCTCAGAAAATACTGTACTGTATTTGTATGTATTGTTTACTTGAGAATACAACAGAGAATAAACTGCCCAAATACCCTTAAACAAAGGAAAAGTACGACCTTTATGAAGGCATAGAGCCTTTACTACATGAAAATGAAAATTAATGAATACACTGTTTTATCAGGTAAATTACTGTACACAGTAATTTACCTGATAAAACAGACCCCAGAAAAATACTTTATGAGGCATAAAGCTGTCTATAATGAAAATTAAGTAAGGATTTTTTTGCCCTGTCAGGGTGTGGCCGAGTTATCCGGAGTGCTGAGTTTTCGAGACTCTACTGTATTGAGTTGACAAAAATACAAATTAAAAATTAAAATGAGTAGAGATGTCAAATAACACAATGGAAACATTATTACCAGTACCTTTAAGAACTTTACACACTTCTTTTTTCCCCCGAGTTAATTTCATACATTCATACGGTACTTGTATTTATCATATCATTCTTGGCGTAAACCATAATATGATTAAACAATATCGCTATAAATAATAATAATGCAATCATAAAACTTATTTACAAATAAGTAATATAAAAACTTTAAAAAAAATCTTTTTAACAAAAATATACATACAGGTTTTTTCTTCAATATCATTTGAAAAATATTCTATTGAACACTAGTTATATGTTGTATAAATTCACAAATGGTAAGCTATACACAATAACCTTTACAACATTTGGTGTTTAGGTTTTACAAACAATTCACTGGTTTATTGTTATGCCCTCTATAATTTCGTACCATTGCTGTTCAATTTGCATTCCATTAGAGATACAAGATTATTGTTACCATGTTTTACGATTTCAATATGTTCTTTAAATTTTCTTTTATATATATTTTTCTGCACGTGTAGGATTTTAATATTAATTCTATAAATATTACAATTACTATTTTTAATATGGTTATACCAAGGGGAATTGTTATATTTTAATCTAATGGCTGCTTCATGTTCTTTGATCTGTATTTCTACAGCTTGTCCTGTTTCACCTATAAAATATTTTGGATTTTGGCAATTACAGTTGATTTTATAGACAACACCTGTTTTTTCAATATACCACTATTAGTTTTATATGTTTTTAACCTATTAATTTTGTTGGTCAAAGCTGGGGCCAAGACTAAACCAGTGAATTGTTTGTAAAACCTAAACACCAAGTGTTTGTAAAGGTTATTGTGTACGAATTACCATTTGTGAATTTATACGACACACAACAAGTGTTTAATAGAATATTTTTGAAATGATATTGAAGAAAAAAACCTGTATGTATATTTTTTGTAAAAAATTTTAAAACTTACTTATTACTAAGTTTATGATTGTACTTTTAGTTTTTTAGCAATATTTGCATTATATTACGTTTTACACACACAACTATCGATATAATAGAATATTTNATAATTAGCATAAAACTAGCCCGATAGATTTTCGGCAGTCTGTTGGTTGTAGCTAACAATGAAACAGTAAATGTAAAACTGCAGTAGGCCTTTTTTTTATGATTGTTTACTTTGTACCTTCCTCTTTGATGGCTACATATAGAGTATCACCATTTTGCATGATACTACAGATCATTTATTTCATACTGTATTTCCAGGAACAATTTTTGCTGAAGCTTATGATAAAAATGACTGATAATAATAAATATAAATTATAAAAATGGGGAATCTGCTGTATTAAATTAAATTAAAAAAAATGTCAAGAAGTAAACTTCCATATTGCACATAGTGTGGCCACTTGCCAAATGGAGATATAATCACTGTTCTTATTGTTTCAGGTGCAATAACAACTTGGTACTTAATAATTCAATTTAATTCAAATTAATTGTGTGCTGTAGACACACACACAATTAAATTGAATTATTTAATAATCACAACATTACACATTCAACAGATGAAATCCTGCATCATTGTATTGTATTTGAGTGTGCCAACAACAGTGAACTTGAGCATTGATGAGTATTCTGACATACAACAGTCCATATCAACACTAGTCTCAACTGTCACATAGACTGCATTAAATGTCATTCAAGTCATTTACAGTATCTTTTATTTGCAATATGTTCTCTTTCCTCATTTGAAAAGCAATATTTTGGCCACACTGCATTTGCAAGTCAACAAACTGTAAGTGACATATAGTGGAAAGATACTGAAGTGCTTTCTTATAGTTTCAAGGTACAAAGAGACAGATATTGAATTTAGACAGTTTTACAATTACTGTTGTAACCAATAACTGCATTAATTCAACTTAAGAAACTAAATTTTCATGTATAAATTACATCTTAAACATAAAACATTTTTTGCAAAGTTAATAAGACATCATCGGATTCTAATTATAGAAATAAACTATCAAATTTATTATATTGTTTACTCAGATTTGTCATTTGCGAAGGACACAATTCTAGTGTAGTATAAGATCTGTTTATTTTTTTCTAATCTCCCTGTAATAATACTTGGCCTAAAGTAGGTTCTTCAAAGACATTTTTCTGAGGCTCACATGACTGTGAAGATGACTTGTGGTTAAACCTATGTGGAAACAGTAATAATTTTTTTCTCTTTGCTGATTGATGGAAGAACAATAGTTGCAGATCAAACATATACAGATTTATGCATTCTGAAAACAATAGACCAATTGATTGATTCTCTCTTCAGATGGACCAAATTATGTTTGTATGTCACTGTCTTTACTGGCAGTCAAGTCTCTAACATCTGAAGAAAAGGAAGATTTGATTAATTTGTCTATTGTTTTTACTGTAGACATTTTTTAACAAGGTATCTTAAACACTTAACCAAAGATCCAACTCGTGAAACACAACATTGGAGAATAGCAATCATCCTCAAGTTGATTGAGGATGATTGCTCTGAATAAGATGTGTGTCTGAATAAGTTCTTTATCAGAATAGAATATATGATGAAATATAATAATTTAAAATTTTATTCTTAGAAAACATTTACAAGTTATTATATTTTGCAGCTGGCCATCACTGCTCTTTCTACTGTTTTATCTGCCGATTTTAAGTCATCAGAAATCGAAGTCGGGGTGGTTTCTAAAGATAATCCTAAATTTAGGTAAGATTTAATTATTGTAGTTACTTTTGTATATCTGTTATCATTAATTCATTTCCCTTTAATGTAAAATATACAATTTATGTTATTAAATATTGGAAAATTTTTAGTTGTACAAATGTACAATTTAAATGTGTTTTCTATCTAGGACCCTGACGGAACCAGAGATAGAAGCCCACTTGGTAGCAATTTCGGAAAGGGATTAGAATGTCTTTTAACAGTAAAATGTTCACCCATGATAACAGTTTTTCTACTTGTTTAATTTGCTTTTCACTTATACACCAATACTTTTCTTTATTCAAAAATATTAAATAAAATTAATTTTGAATTTTTAAAATGGTTGAACAACTCTCTTACAAAATACTGTTTTATTAATAATAGATTTACATCAACTGTAGACACACACACAATTAAATTGAATTATTTAATAATGATGCATCTAATATATAATATTACTTGGGCATAGTCCTATTGGCATTAAATGAATTTGACGATAGCTGCTTTATTTTTCAATGTTACATGCATATCATTTAAGTGTGCATATTTTAAAATGAGAGGAACCAAAACTGTTCATATATCTTCTATTTAGTAGTGAGACATCTTAAAATTACTCAACACAATAGTAAAATAATTAAAGATGTTCATGAAATGAGTCTTAGAAGTTGACGATCAAAGTTCAGATTCCATTAGCATCCCCAAAGTCACTAAGCCTGCGAGTCTAATTGGGAGATCTGGGACATAATCTTGATAAATTTTGGTCACAATATGGAAAATAGGTACTAAATAATTCTTCTATAAAAACATGTAGATCTTCAACATTTATGGTGTGACCTTAGTCTGCCACTAGCTTGGAAAGGCTAAGAACCACTCCTCAAAACTATTGTTCATGTATTCTTGTTTTACTTTATTAAAGAAAGCACTAACTCAATACTAAATGTAGAAAGATCGTACAGTTTGCATTCAGTCTAGTAATGCTTTATTTGCTTTATTATTACAATAATACAAATCAAGCTACTAGATCAATGTTTCCCAAAATGGTTCCTATGGACACCTGGGGTCCTTGGAACTGCTGATGGGGTTCATGGCAAATTAAAATGAATTTAGTAGTTTGTGGACAATGTCAGGGGGTCTGCAAGAGGTGTAATAAAAAGTAAAATGATTGTGACCCATTTTCATCATTATGAAAGTTAAAAATAAATAGTAATAAATAAATTGGTAGTCATTTTTATGTCCTGAATAAAATAAAGTATCCACAAGTTTCCATAGAAAGTTCATGTATTTCCCATACTGTAGTGCCACCGTCACATCACCATTAAGATACTGCAAGAACAATGGAACTGCAGAACTAATTGATTTTGAAATCTATATAAATAAAAATATAAATGTTCATTTGTTCAAAATCTTAAATCTCCAAAAGTTCTTCGTCCATTTCTTTGAAATTTTGAAACAACTTTGCATTCAAATAAGTGTTTTTTTTATATTATATAGATGTCAAAATCCCCCTGCAGCGGAGAGGGACAAAATTAAGGCTTATCGTGAAGAACTCGGCTTCTATTATAATATTTTAGATGCGATTTTTTGCATTTTAATAGGGTATGTCGAGAATGTACACTAAAAAGGGATTTTTCGAGATTTCCCCTACAGTGAGTGTTATACATTTATAATAAGATACATTTTGAGCCACAGCAACGCGTGGCTGGGTACAGCTAGTAACTAAAATTTCTTCATAACAACCATTTTGTTAGTCATTGATAAGTTTTATATTTAAAATTTTATTTTAGAGTATTTTCAATCATTTTTTTTACAAAAGTTAAAGAAAAAAGCGTGCTACTTATATTGTGGGGAAATATCTTAAAACTGAAAAGTTTCAAGTAAAATTAAGAAAATAAATCCTGGTTGAATAAAGGACAGTCTCGATGCATCATGCTTTTGCATGTATTACATACAGCTTTAAACCACTTATAAACAAGTCTCTAGCTATTATGGCAGCCAACCACTGCACAGAATCTACCCAAACTGGTTTTATAATTGAATGAAAAACTAAAAATTACAGACCTAAACAACTAACTGTATCTTAATACCTGCCAAGACTTATGGCCTCATGTAATGTATATATAATACAAGTAATGACAAACATTGCATAGTGGAAATACTAGCTAAAGCTTTCCCAGTTTGAAAATGGGCTGTGCTTCATCTATTGCAAACATTTTAGAATTTATTTTGTTTGTTTATAGAATTTTATACATTTATTTAATTTTTCTTTCGAAAGCAGTGATAAGGTTGTTTTTCATAATTATAAAAACTATTTAGTGACTGAAAATATATAATTCATTTATTTTGATCAAAAATATGTTTTTCTATGAAAATTCAATAGATATATAAAATTAATAATTTTTTTATTTTATCTTTGTAATGCAATTTATACCCCAATTAGAAATAACTTATACATTATTTTGTTTTCAGTACTCATTTTTCAAAAACGGGCAAGCTTTATCTAGTAATTTCAATACAGTAATTACTAGTTAAATAAAATATTTTGATATTTAATTCTATATTTTTACATCACCATTTACCATTCAAGACATCAAGGTTAAATTTGTAGTTGTGTAGTTATTTCACTTGGGGGTTCACGTCAGGTTTTTGCTATGAGAAGGGGTCCATGAGCATTCTAAGTTTGGGAACCATTTTGCTAGACCATGAACACCATAAAAACTCCACCATTTCTGTTTACAACAATACACGGTTCTTTTATTCACACTTTTGTAATTATATAGTAGTAGTTATAATTTATTTTGAGTTGACAAATTGTGTATTTTGCAGAAAGATTATGTTTAAAATATCAAACAAATAGACATATTTCGTTACTGACTATTAACTTGGGCATGTTACATAATGTTACAAAAAATGCGGTCCTTTCGGCCCCCCAAATTTTTTTTTGGAATGTTTTTTGTCTCCAAATTTTTTCAAAAATTTTTACCCGCGCAAAAAAATCTTATTGCGATTTTAATTAGCCTTTGATAAGGCTCGATTAAGGCTTAATTGTTTTTTAATGGGATTTTTTTAATCAAAATTAATCGTTCTAAAGTTGTAGTGCACGGATTTGACTTCGGTAAAGTTATTTAAAACTACTTTCTGATGTCAAAAACGACCTCCGATAGTTTTTTAATTAATAGATTTTATTATATATAAATTTAATTTATTAGGTGGGTCGGAAATCGCAATAAAATTTTTAATTTTTTAAAAATATAGGCCTAATTAGTAGTCACCCTACTTTAAACCCTTGTCCTCCCGAGACTTCTATGAGAATGCCCCGGGAAATCCGACTCCAGCTGTTCTCAAGGTCATCCAGCTGTGTAAACAATGACTCATCGGTGTCAAATATCACAGAAAGGCAAGACAAAGGAAAATAAAATTTGAAGCTTTTTCTTCAAAATTAACGCATTTCTTTCGTTGTTTTCAGTTTTAAGCATTTTTTATGCTTAATTACATTATAATTAAAAACAGGTGGGCGTTAAGAGGTTAAGGCTAAATAATTATCTGCTACCAAATTATTTAGTAATGTTAGGCTGCTGTCTGTGGATCAGTTGTATTTTGATTACACTTGCTAATTCAAGGATATTCTAAAACATTTCAAAATATGTCAACGTTATGTTTTGAATTGTTAGTCAGTATAAATTAAAGTACAGTGGCACTTGTGCAGTTTTATATATTTGCCATGCTCCACTAGATGTTGAACTATAGATACATGTTTTAGTCAAGTTATAATACATAACTCAAAAACTTGAACAATGTTTAACTTTGATGTTTGATGTCAATGCCATGTTACAACTGGCCAGAAATTGACTATAAACTGGATAATGCTCTTGTCGACAATAGCAATGGCTAATGACTTGAAACTCCACACTGCTGCAGACCATAAACCGGCCTTTACTAATTAACAGTAATTTATCCAGTATATTGAGATAGTAGTTTGAATTGCTGTCACTTACTGTCCTGTAAGCAGGAGCGGATATACTTAGGGACTAATAGGGCTTAAGTCCTGGGCCCACAAAAATTGAATTATCATCATAAATTTTTAATATTTTTTCATTAACAATGAGCACTTTTCGTACATTAAAAAGTAGTTAATAATAATACCATAAATTATCATTATTATATTTGTATTAACAAAAAATGGTGCCCCATTGGACTTCAATAAGCCCTATGCCCTGGAAAACCTAGATCCGCCCCTGCAAGCGGATGCTGTTGGTTATTGGCCTCTTAACAAGGAGAGATAATTTGAGTGAGTGGACTTTTTTAAGCTAATAAGTATTATATAAAACTGTTTCTTGTAGTTCTTTAAAGTATTTTTACGTATGTTTTGAGATACACTAATTCTAATGGTAAGCAGATTCAATTACAAGCAACAGAATGCATCATGCTTTTGAATGGCCTTATTTGTCTACATTGTAAATCGTGGGGAATGCTGATTCATTCCGAAGAAATTTGTAACCACCATCCCTTATGCAAATAATTCAAATGAGGTGCAGTCCTCCTGTGTCCAACTGCTGTCAGGAGGACTGTACCTCAATAAACTGCAACAGATTCAAGGTAAAGGCAATTGATCATCATCCTCTCTATTGTAGAGACTTGATACCTTATTGATCATGTTTAGATATTTGTATATACTACAATAAATGGTTGTCTCTTTAATCCGAAAATATTTCTCTCGGTAGACTATCTTATAGCAAGTCAGGTCAAGAAACTATTTTATTGTATTTTCAATTCATATGCATTTCGAACTGGTTTCATTTTCCAGTTCCTCTTCAGTGCTCTAGAATTACAATTACAAATACAGTAGAGCCTCGAAAACTCGGCCTAATGTGGACCGAAGGGTGGCCAAGTTTGTGAAAATGTCGGGTTATCGGGAATGGGGTTAAAAAACTAAGTATGAGTGTTTCCTCAGAAAATACTGTACTGTATTTGTATGTATTGTTTACTTGAGAATACAACAGAGAATAAACTGCCCAAATACCCTTAAACAAAGGAAAAGTACGACCTTTATGAAGGCATAGAGCCTTTACTACATGAAAATGAAAATTAATGAATACACTGTTTTATCAGGTAAATTACTGTACACAGTAATTTACCTGATAAAACAGACCCCAGAAAAATACTTTATGAGGCATAAAGCTGTCTATAATGAAAATTAAGTAAGGATTTTTTTGCCCTGTCAGGGTGTGGCCGAGTTATCCGGAGTGCTGAGTTTTCGAGACTCTACTGTATTGAGTTGACAAAAATACAAATTAAAAATTAAAATGAGTAGAGATGTCAAATAACACAATGGAAACATTATTACCAGTACCTTTAAGAACTTTACACACTTCTTTTTTCCCCCGAGTTAATTTCATACATTCATACGGTACTTGTATTTATCATATCATTCTTGGCGTAAACCATAATATGATTAAACAATATCGCTATAAATAATAATAATGCAATCATAAAACTTATTTACAAATAAGTAATATAAAAACTTTAAAAAAAATCTTTTTAACAAAAATATACATACAGGTTTTTTCTTCAATATCATTTGAAAAATATTCTATTGAACACTAGTTATATGTTGTATAAATTCACAAATGGTAAGCTATACACAATAACCTTTACAACATTTGGTGTTTAGGTTTTACAAACAATTCACTGGTTTATTGTTACACCCTTTATAATTTCATACCATTGCTGTTCAATTTGCATTTCATTAGAGGTATTTACAAGCAATGTTCCCTCTAAGCTGGACGGTTGCGCACTGCTCAAATTGTTGCCGCGCATGAGAATTTATGTGCCGCACAGGCGAGCATGCACACCAATTTGAATTGTTGTTTACTTATTTCTCACTCTGTCTGCAACATGATTATTGCTGCGTATATTTCAATTAAATACATTAAATCATTGACAAAAGATAATATTTCATATAAAAGTATGTTTTAAAATTAATTTTAATCTCTACCATATAATTAATAATTTTAAGTTTTATAGGAAAAAATAAGATTTTATATATATATATATGCTCAGAAAATTTTTTTTTTTGCTCAGAGAAGTATATGTTCTGCTCATCTACAAAAAAAATTAGAAGGAACATTGTTTACAAGATTATTACCATGTTTTACGATTTCAATATGTTCTTTAAATTTTCTTTTATATATATTTTTCTGCACGTGTAGGATTTTAATATTAATTCTATAAATATTACAATTACTATTTTTAATATGGTTATACCAAGGGGAATTGTTATATTTTAATCTAATGGCTGCTTCATGTTCTTTGATCTGTATTTCTACAGCTTGTCCTGTTTCACCTATAAAATATTTTGGATTTTGGCAATTACAGTTGATTTTATAGACAACACCTGTTTTTTCAATATACCACTATTAGTTTTATATGTTTTTAACCTATTAATTTTGTTGGTCAAAGCTGGGGCCAAGACTAAACCAGTGAATTGTTTGTAAAACCTAAACACCAAGTGTTTGTAAAGGTTATTGTGTACGAATTACCATTTGTGAATTTATACGACACACAACAAGTGTTTAATAGAATATTTTTGAAATGATATTGAAGAAAAAAACCTGTATGTATATTTTTTGTAAAAAATTTTAAAACTTACTTATTACTAAGTTTATGATTGTACTTTTAGTTTTTTAGCAATATTTGCATTATATTACGTTTTACACACACAACTATCAATAGAATATTTTCAAAAAATATAAAAGAAAAAAACCTGTATGTATATTTTTGTTAAAAAAAATGTTTAAAAATGTTTTTATACTACTTATTTGTAAATAGGTTTTATGATTGTATTATTATTATTTATAGAGATTGTTTAATCATATTACGGTTTACGCCAAGAAGGATAATTTCATATGATAAATACAAGTACCGTATGAATGTAACTCGGGAAAAAGAAGTGTGTAAAGTTCTTAAAGGTACTGGTAATAATGTTTCCATTGTGTTATTTGACATCTCTACTCATTTTAATTTTTAATTTGTATTTTTGTCAACTCAATATCTGTAATTGTAATTCTAGAGCACTGAAGAGGAACTGGAAAATGAAACCAGTTCGAATTGCATATGAATTGAAAATACAATAAGAGTTTCTTAACCTGACTTGCTGTAAGATAGTCTACTGAGAGAAATATTTTCCAATTAAAGAGGCAACCATTCACTGAACGATTATACAGCTACAATTAGTAAATTCAATATACTACAATAACATTGAAGTACAGTACATCTGAATGTCTAAAGAAGAACACAATCAAATTGTCACAATATAAAGCAAACTATACCCTGCTCTTTTACAGTTTCAGTAGGCAACATAGGGGTACAATAATTCTATTCTCCTAGAACCATTCTAAAACCAAACCTCTGAATTGAAAACACTTGTGTCCCAAAAAGAGCAAACTCTTCAAATGTATTATTTCCGAAACTTGCATGCCTGTGCAAAATAAATCTCCTTCAAATTTAATGCATTATCATTGTCTATTTGAATTTTTCTGCAAGTTTAGAAGCAAAAGTGATAAATGTATCTGATATGTAATTTCTAATACAATCAATGTATAGCAACAATTTATTTTTGTCATTGCTTTTACAGAAAGATCAACACAAAAAACATGAGACTAACTCTATAACTTGGGAACCAAGAGTGAGAGAGGAGAAACCAATATTTCGGTTTAGTGACACACTGAAAATTAGTGTCAATTTCAGAGACAAACAAATGGCTAAATTGAAAGTTTTCTATCAAAATACACAGTTGAAATATATGTATCACACATTCTTAATACACAAATCTCAAAGCATGTGTGTTTTTATGATTAAAATAATTAGAAATTTGTTTTAAAGGTCACACAACAAAGTTAAACACTAATAATCAAATTAGTAAGATGTTTATATAATTATTTTAAACCCAATACATTGCAATAACACTACTTCAACTGCCTTATATCATTGGGCTATAATTAATCTAAAATTATTTAATTAAATTACAATTATTAAATTTAATACGAGGTGGCACCTAATGCCTCCCTCTAGGGTCAAATTTATTACTAATTTATAATTATTGCTGCCAGTTTATGGTCCAAATATACGGCAGTTGAAGTAGTGTTATTAAAATAATTCTTTGTTCTGTCCTGTAAGTCATTGAAAAAATATAACGTAAAACATTTACAGATAAAAATGAAGAACAACTGCTATTGGAAACCTGCAAGTTTTTAGCTTTATGTACATGTTTAGAGACAAAACAAATAAAAAAAATTTTACTGTTATATATATAGTAATCATTATGTATATAAGTTTTTGCATTAATTACTGATTCATGATCAGTAAGATTGTATGCAGAATCTATTGGATAAATTCATATTTTTTTTGTATGTTGCGACAGACGAATGTCTCGTTCATCTGTTGGACTGATGATACTTTCTCTGAATACCATTCTATCCGTTTTACATTCTTCCATCTGCTTGAATGCAGTAAAACATTCCTTCAGTCGTTCAATCTTCTCTATTTTTTCTTGAATCATCTGAAATCAATTTTGTATATTTCAGTGATAGGAAAAAACCATTGGCACATTTTAACATTTTCGATACTCACCTGAATGTGACTTTGCATTTGAGAGGAAACTTCAATCATTAGTTTCTCGCCATCGTCTGTGTCATTTCTGAGGAGGTCTTTGAAATCAATTCCACGTTCGACACGGTATTCTTTAGCTCTCTGCAAAATAAATCAGTCAAAATTAGTATTATCTATCGGATGCAATCCACTTGCAAATCACAAATTTCACTTCAAGTTTGTATCGTATTTTCACGGAATGACTGGTATGCTGGTTTAAGTGAGGTTACACATCCTTCTCTAAAGGGTGCATTAAAAAAAAAAAAAAAAAAATGAACGCGTTAAATCAGGTAAATATGAATGAGTTTTTATTCTAAAACTGTGAAACTGTCAGCATTACATCAAAAACTACAATTATATGTTTAATTTCTTCACTTTGTCTTCTTTTTAACGACATAAAATACTCGGAATTCCAAAAGTGCTTCTTTTGTGTGTATTTTATTGTTATTTGATTTAAAAATGCAAAAATAAACATACTAAAAATTCCCTATAACACCAACATTGACTGTGTGTGTTGAGAGAAGATGTAATTGTTAAGGTTTGGGTAGATGGTGAATGTAGCCCACACTGACTGACTATTACTACTGTCAATAAGTTAATACAGTAATTGTTTTATTGTCTTGTAAATGAAAACTCTCTGATTTTAAGTCAGTCAAATTACAATGTTATTCAAAATAATCAAAAAATTTCTTACTGGAACTAATTCAAATACATAATATAAGAAAACAACGCCTTCTATAACATTCCAGCAATCGGTCGAAAACGTTATTAGAGTATTGAATTTTGTTGCTGGAATGTTATAGAAGGCGTTGTTTTCTTATATTATGTACAATGTTATTATTTTATTGTACTCAGAAGAATGTTTTTACATGTTTAATTAACGACTAGTTTGTTAGATTTGATTAATTTTATATTTTAGATGCAGTTTAACCGGCATGCTGGTCTACCCATTTTTATGTATGCCACATAAAAATGGGGGTAGACCAGCATGCCAGTTATTACATGATGGTCATTCCATGAAATACGGTATTCATGTATCATTATTAAACCTTTCGATTCACTAGTTTACACAATTGGATAAGCCAATCTAGAATTAAAACAGAGATGAAATGTCTTAGTATAATTAATGTAAACTTTGTTTGGTTTGTATGCCAACAGGCTAAATCTAGGCCAATGCCATTGGTCTCTATTTCAATGTTTTAAAATAGGTTCCTGACTTGGTCAACAGGTCAATTACTAGGGACCATTTGGAATTTGGCAGAAAAATAATATTTTCATACTGTATATGATAAGTCTACTTACTGATGATGGTAAACAACTGATATATTATACTCTTTAAATGAAGAAATATGGCAGTATATGAAATTACATTACTATTAGACATTTGTATTTCTAGTATTAAGGCACGGACAAATCAAATTTTAAATTATCATATTTCATGGTGAATAAGACATACCTTTTCCTAAATATTCTCTGTTGAAATGGGAGTATTTTAGCCACCCTGCATCCCCAAATTTTTTAACTATGTTCTGGTTTAAAAAAGTAAATCGAGTTAGTTATAACTAATAATTTTTCCAGTTTATTTAATCATTTAAAATATCTAATTACTCATAATATTCTTACATTTCCACATGTAAAGCTTAAGATTTGTTTTTAGAAGATAGCAATTACAGAAATGAATTTTCAAGGAACAGAAGATAAATAGTAAAATTTGAGAAGCATGCTTAATCCCTTTGCTCAATAAAAGTTTGTACCAAGGCTTATCCACACAAACAATATCAATAAAAACTGATGAACATGTTGTGATTTTCCCTTGTTAGAAAAGTTACATTCTGCCTCTGTGTAGCATAGAGGCAGTAGAATTAAGAATGTAGCTTTAAGAATCTTATTAATTTTAGGTATTGCATTGGAGCTGCACACAATGAATTTACACAGCAAGTGTTACAAAATATTTTAATTTTGTTAAATGAGTCATTTCCATTAATATTTTCATATCCCTCATTTCTTAAAATAATATGTAAATCCATACAGAATTTTATTTAATTTATTATTATTTTTTTTAATTTTGTTGCACGCTCGACTGCACTGTGTTGCTATGAAAAATACACACGGCTAAACAGAGATGTTGCCAATAATACTGGTATCGTTACCATATAAAATCTGCTTGACACTAATAAATTTCCTGTAAGAATAATATAGTGTTTAAAATGTTTGTAAATTTAATACCTCAACTATATTTAATTCATCCAATTTTAATAAAATGTAGAAGTGGAGCAAGTAATAAGTTTCCCCTGGAGCTGGAGTAATCTTGATCTTACAAGTATATTTTACCGTACGTTTCTATATTCAACAGTTGACTCAACGGTGAGAGAACAACGTTTCTAAATGGACCGTTGAGTTCTCCGTTGAGACTAGTGACGTCAGCGCTGTTTCACCGTTGAGCTCAACGGTCTCAACGACCTGAAAGACCGTTGAGTAGTCAACAAACTAACATGGCGGCTTCCACGAAAAAGTAAATTTCGCTTATAGAAACTATCCATTCGCTGCTGTGGATGCTGTAATAGCGGACAGATTAATGAACAATCTGTATATGATAAAACACGTGATTGCATGATTATGTTGGATAATTTGGTCAATATTGAAATATTAAGATTTTTTCATTTGTCCAAAATTGATTACGACCGATATTTGGCCCGCTAAGTCTTCCTAATGATATAAATATTCAAGAAATTAATTNGGTCGGAAATCGCAATAAAATTTTTAATTTTTTAAAAATATAGGCCTAATTAGTAGTCACCCTACTTTAAACCCTTGTCCTCCCGAGACTTCTATGAGAATGCCCCGGGAAATCCGACTCCAGCTGTTCTCAAGGTCATCCAGCTGTGTAAACAATGACTCATCGGTGTCAAATATCACAGAAAGGCAAGACAAAGGAAAATAAAATTTGAAGCTTTTTCTTCAAAATTAACGCATTTCTTTCGTTGTTTTCAGTTTTAAGCATTTTTTATGCTTAATTACATTATAATTAAAAACAGGTGGGCGTTAAGAGGTTAAGGCTAAATAATTATCTGCTACCAAATTATTTAGTAATGTTAGGCTGCTGTCTGTGGATCAGTTGTATTTTGATTACACTTGCTAATTCAAGGATATTCTAAAACATTTCAAAATATGTCAACGTTATGTTTTGAATTGTTAGTCAGTATAAATTAAAGTACAGTGGCACTTGTGCAGTTTTATATATTTGCCATGCTCCACTAGATGTTGAACTATAGATACATGTTTTAGTCAAGTTATAATACATAACTCAAAAACTTGAACAATGTTTAACTTTGATGTTTGATGTCAATGCCATGTTACAACTGGCCAGAAATTGACTATAAACTGGATAATGCTCTTGTCGACAATAGCAATGGCTAATGACTTGAAACTCCACACTGCTGCAGACCATAAACCGGCCTTTACTAATTAACAGTAATTTATCCAGTATATTGAGATAGTAGTTTGAATTGCTGTCACTTACTGTCCTGTAAGCAGGAGCGGATATACTTAGGGACTAATAGGGCTTAAGTCCTGGGCCCACAAAAATTGAATTATCATCATAAATTTTTAATATTTTTTCATTAACAATGAGCACTTTTCGTACATTAAAAAGTAGTTAATAATAATACCATAAATTATCATTATTATATTTGTATTAACAAAAAATGGTGCCCCATTGGACTTCAATAAGACCTATGCCCTGGAAAACCTAGATCCGCCCCTGCAAGCGGATGCTGTTGGTTATTGGCCTCTTAACAAGGAGAGATAATTTGAGTGAGTGGACTTTTTTAAGCTAATAAGTATTATATAAAACTGTTTCTTGTAGTTCTTTAAAGTATTTTTACGTATGTTTTGAGATACACTAATTCTAATGGTAAGCAGATTCAATTACAAGCAACAGAATGCATCATGCTTTTGAATGGCCTTATTTGTCTACATTGTAAATCGTGGGGAATGCTGATTCATTCCGAAGAAATTTGTAACCACCATCCCTTATGCAAATAATTCAAATGAGGTGCAGTCCTCCTGTGTCCAACTGCTGTCAGGAGGACTGTACCTCAATAAACTGCAACAGATTCAAGGTAAAGGCAATTGATCATCATCCTCTCTATTGTAGAGACTTGATACCTTATTGATCATGTTTAGATATTTGTATATACTACAATAAATGGTTGTCTCTTTAATCCGAAAATATTTCTCTCGGTAGACTATCTTATAGCAAGTCAGGTCAAGAAACTATTTTATTGTATTTTCAATTCATATGCATTTCGAACTGGTTTCATTTTCCAGTTCCTCTTCAGTGCTCTAGAATTACAATTACAGATACAGTAGAGCCTCGAAAACTCGGCCTAATGTGGACCGAAGGGTGGCCAAGTTTGTGAAATTGTCGGGTTATCGGGAATGGGGTTAAAAAACTAAGTATGAGTGTTTCCTCAGAAAATACTGTACTGTATTTGTATGTATTGTTTACTTGAGAATACAACAGAGAATAAACTGCCCAAATACCCTTAAACAAAGGAAAAGTACGACCTTTATGAAGGCATAGAGCCTTTACTACATGAAAATGAAAATTAATGAATACACTGTGTAATCAGGTAAATTACTGTACACAGTAATTTACCTGATAAAACAGACCCCAGAAAAATACTTTATGAGGCATAAAGCTGTCTATAATGAAAATTAAGTAAGGATTTTTTTGCCCTGTCAGGGTGTGGCCGAGTTATCCGGAGTGCCGGGTTATCGAGAGCCGAGTTTTCGAGGTTCTACT